TCCTCGGGGCTCTCTCCAATATGTACTGTGTTGTTTCTCGAAGGACAAAGCCACAACCTCCCACATTAACGGCTGCCTACCCCTCTCCCCCCGTATCCACGGCTCTCCTCTTACAAGGTATTAGACCACCGTCATCAGGAGAGACGTTGTCCTCATCAACTAACGAGAAGAGTTGGGGAGCAGCAGTTGCAGATAGAATGGAGACGGGATCCCGAACTACGGTAACTACGGTTCAGATCGATACAGACGACGTAGTAGTTGCAACAGGAGCCGAAGGGGATAATGCAGCGGTCGCCTAGAGGGCACTGGTGTCCGGCTCCTCCTAGAACCCCTGTCTGAGAAAAAGACAATATTAAGTTAGCATAACGAATCCATACACAATAGAAAATGGAGCGGCCACGATCAAAGAAAGGAAATTACTAGTAGAAGGGAGAGTAGGCTTGAATTTCTCGAATAAACTTGGCCAGTCACGGATCCCTATGATGTAAGAGAGGAGTCACTGGACCCAGTCGGAGATATGAGAGACCAGAGGAGGAGGCTGGCTGTTGGCTGCAAAAGAGAAGTAAAAATATCAAAATTCAGGACCAAAAACGAACGCAAAAAGAGACAGGGCACTCACGAGTGTAGTTCCAAGCTTCAGGAAAGCCGTTGACGTTGGCTATGACGTCCTCGATCCTGACAAAGAAGAAGTTAAGCCAGAACTGACCATTTGCTTTGTCGTCCATCTTCACCACCAAACATTTTCCTCCTTGGTGGCAAAAGTTCATCATCGTCCCCCTATAAAAGTCAGGGGCGTATAGGTGTATCAAGTGTTATAGCGTCAGCTCGGCGAATTTTGTCAACATCTTTATCACCTTGTAGATGTACGGTGCAAGTTGAGTCGGGAAGACACCGTAGTGATGACAAAACTCCTCCACTAACGGGATGGGGGAAAAGAATAGCCGATGAGGAAAGGATAGGCATAAAGAGCGCAGTACCCATGATGATGGACTTGTACTACATCCCCCTCAACCAGGATCAGCTCAACATAGTTGGGAAGGCCGAATTTGGCTTTAAGTTTCGCCAATTCCTTAGGCATTATCGTTGATTTAAAAACTCCAGGCGCGATGTCCGGTACTTTAGTAAGATCAGACCTGGAATCGGGATTACGCAGGATTATTTCCTCCATCGATGGGTAGGTTTCATCCTCAACAATGGCGGGAGCGCTCTCCTCATGGGAGGGAAATACCACTGCCAAGGGAGCAACACGACTCCCCTCACCAGCATTAGAAGATACGTTACAGAGAAGAAATTCGAAGAAGAAGAGAGCAAGAGAAAGATATGGTGCTTCGAAACGTTAGAGAATTTAAAAACTCCAAAATGGGGTTCAAGGATCTCTATTTATAAAAGTCATGGCACCGAAACCGAAAATAGTTCATTATGATTGGCACTGGAACCAAAGCGGCATGTCTAGTCAAAGTTCGCACGCGAAACAAAGCGACACATCGGGAATATGCGTCATAATGACGCATGGCATCATGACGTCATCCTAACCCGTGGACAACATAACTCCAGCAAATCACCCGGAAAATTCGTAGCATTTGAAATGTGTGGCCCATAGAGGGCCACGTCGCCTGTTCTCTGCAACAACCATGACTTGTGTAGTCCGCTTAATTAGCTCGACCACCAGCCACATGATCTGCTCATCAAACCCGCCCGGGAAGACGGCCTCAGTAAGAGGAGGGGCTAACTGTATGAGTCAAAATCTATCCCTAGAATACTTAAGTCAAAATGGTATTAGTGAAACATTCACAGACCGCCACGTGTCGAAGTGATATAAGAAACAATGAAGGTTGTGGTCGAAGAGTCAGCAAGGGCTGAAGTCGAGGAGTCATCAAGGATCGAGGCCGAAGTCGAATACCCTTTACAGAGTTATAACGGCTAGTTTCAAGATAGGACAGAAAAGAGAATATTCTAGTAGATATTCTCTACACTGTACTATTAGGATTTCTAGGAACATGTTACCTATAAATAGAAAAAGATACAATGATAGGGACATGGGATATTCACTCGTAAAATATACTTTGACTTTATAGAGAGAATCTGGTCTCATCACAAGCACACAAAAATAACCTTTTCACTAAGATTCTGGCCTACACTTTTCTACTGTATCCGAGAATATCTCGAAAACTCAAAGGCTTATCCATCATTCTTGATTGTCACAAAGAATATTCATTGATTTCATCCTTTTTTCGGTGACTCCTTTACATTTATTTACATAAATATCATTTATTGTTATTCATCACTATTTAATGTTATATTACTTTTGTTAGGATCCTCGAATATTGTCATTATCGTGCACTTTCATAACCTTCAGAATAGATCTACATGCTACATGTCGTAATACCACGGATTTTATCTTTAGGATATTATTATTAACCTAGAGTAAACCTCATCTACATAAAATTTAATTAGTTGAATCAAGATTTATATTTTTGGTCAAATAGTTCACATAATGCTATATAGGACGACAAGTGGAGATTAGAAAAATAAATATTTTAATACCATATGTCTTTGAATAGTAAACGGAAGGACAACAACGGTCAAAATTTCTAGTGTATTAATCTTAGGAATTAATCTCCATCGCCACTTGTCCACTTGATACTTTATCTTGTAGTATATATTATGTAATCCTTAATTTAGAACAATATAAAAGGAGTATTGATTCCTTTACATTTTGGAAAGTCTATTAAGTTCCTTGGATATTCTTTTCTACTAGATACTAACCTCTTTTGCGCTGCAACTTTGAGTTTATTAACATGGCCTAGAGAGTTGGCAGGCTATGATTGAGGAATTCAATTATTTTTCCTTAAAGAATAGTTAGTCAATTTTAGAGGATTATTCCATTTTAGTACACTAATAGCTTGTTTGGCCCCGCTCCTCCAAGGTAAAAAATATTTCAAATAAGTTTTTTTTTTTTTTTTAAAGTTGAAGTGTTAGACCAAATTTTTAGAAGAAAAAAAATACTTTTGAGTAGAAGCAAAAACAATTTTGGAGAAGTAAAAAAATTAGTTTATCTTCGGAAGCACTTTTTTTGAAAAATATTTTTGAGGAAAATACACTTAGAAGTACTTTTTTTACAGCTTGGCCAAACACTAATTGCTGCTCAGAAGTGCTTTTTAAATTAATTAGCCAAACACAAAATGCTTCTCACCAAAGATACTTTTGAAAAAAATACTTTAAAATAAAAAACATTTATCAAAATAAACTGATTTTAGAATCTTGCAAACGGGCTATAATAATAATAATAATTTAATACAATCTTTTTTACTGCTATCGGGGTTACTTAGTTTGATACTCCCTCTATTTTACTTTACGCGAACTCATTTGATTGAACACGAACTTTAAAAGAAGAGAGAAAATTTTAGAATTTGTGGTATAAAATAAGACACGTATAATTTGTGTGAATATAAATCATTGTATAAAATTAATTTTTTTTTCAAATATAAAAATAAATCATTATTTTTAGCACCGACTATAAAAAATAGGTTCGTACATAATTTATCTTAAATGAATTGGAGTATATTTATCTGTGCAGGTACGGTAATATAGGTACGGTCATTGCACGTTTCAATCTTTATTATTGTCTGCCGTGACCACTTTGACGAATTTACGTTATTTCTGGGGACCCACTATGAGTGGTATTTCGTGCGCCCCTTTATCTGTGTGCTAGCATGTATCTTGGCCATTGATTATTGTTAAGGCTACTTATTCAAAGGATCAGATCCCTTTGACTTTAGTATCTTTAACACCACCCTGCCAAATTCAGATGAATTTTAACTTCTTCTTTTGTTCTTTTCATCTGCGATTATTATAAGAGCCAGTTTGACATAAGAAATTTTTTTTATTTTTTTTAAAAATAATGCTTGGTTATCAAAATCTTACAATTTTTTCAATCTCACTTAAAAATATATTTTTAAATTTAAAAAACTAGTGAGAACTAGTTTTTCAATTGAAAATAGAAAGGTTGCCGATGTTTAGTTGCATATGTTAAAAAAAGGACATTCAAATATGTTACAAAAATTATAACCAAACACAACTTCATCTTCAATTCAAATTTTAGTAAAATTTCAAATTTGATTTTTTTTTTGGAATTCATGTCCAAATGCCTACTATAAGATTCTTTTCTTCATTTTTCTTTTTGTAACTTTTTGGGGCCGCAGAGGCTCATAAATGGGACAAAGTAGGATTAAGAACTTGAAGAAATCATCTGACGCCTCATATAATGGCATTTTATTATACAAGATTAACATTTTTTTTTTTTTTTTGCAATATATATGTTCCGTTGATCTAAAGTTGGACCCCATATTTAGCTTCTAAATTAGAATCAAGCGAAAAATCATTAAGTTTTGTAGGAATATTTTTATTTGTACTTATGTGTGGCAGAGCCACTCATTAGCGAGGGGAGTTAATTGACATCCTTTATCAAAAAATTATAGATAAATACATACTATATGTTGACTTTATTTATATTTTTATGTATTTATTTATATTTTGACTGCTTTTGATAAAAATTGTAACGCCGCCACGACTTATGTACGTACAAATATGGATATCAAATTTGATCCACAAAAGTTTCACCTGTCTAAACAGCTCGATCCACATGGCCATACTGTGGTACTGTTCTAAATAGACTTTGAACTTGGTCATAAGTGTTAATTTGACTCAGATCCCTTTTGGTTTTTCAAATTTTCACGTGGCTGTTTTATGACTCTTTAAGTCATCGACGTCGATTAAAAAAGAAAGTGTTAACTGTTGAATACGTTTGAGTTGTACAAGTTTAATTTATAATCATTTCTCAACTCATTTTGAATAAGCCATTTTAGTTGAGTATATCTCATCTCAACTAAAACTTGGCCTAACTCGTTCGTTTCATGTTGCAACTTGCAATACTTATATTTGTAAAAAAATATACATCAACTTCAAATGGTACAATAGCATCACGTCTTTGGCCACTTATATGAGTAGGCCATGCCGCCTTTGCGTTTACAGATCACTTATCAATCACTGCATCTCCATCTCTCCCATCATCACTCTACTTATCTTCCTTTCTCTTTCCCAATTAAGTTGACAAGACATGCACACTTGTCTTCTTTTTCGCTATGGCACCACCGCTGGCACAATTCTCATAGCACCTGGGAATTTTCGATACCCACTTGGAATATATCGCTCTATACCATGATCGCCATCTTCGTCCGCAAGACCCGTTTTGGCATTTCTCGTAGTCTTTCTTCTTCCACCCTCCAACCCCTTCTCAACGTTCGTCTCCTCTTCCTCTTTGTCCCCACATAATACAACTTACAAACCCTTTTCTTTTCTTGGGCATTTTCCTATTAGAAGAAGAAGATCTGCACAGGACGTATCTGACTTGTTGAGATTAGCAGCAGCAGTAGTAGTAGTAGTTTTTGTTGTTGTCGTTTGCTATTGTTTACATGGATTCTGCTAGTTTACTTTGTCTTCTCAATGAGGATCTTCTTATCCGTATTCTATCCTTCCTTACCTATGATTCCGACCGAAAAGCTTTCCGTTTGGTATGTAAAGCATTCCACCGAGTTGACTCCCTCCACCGAACCCATCTTCAGATCCTTCGTCCGGAGTTCATCACAACACTTCTCTCCAAATTCCCAAATATTTACTCCCTAGACCTCTCCATCTGCCCCCAAATCGACGACTCTGCTGTTTCCATACTGCTGACCGTGGGTTGTGATTGGAGTAGGAGGCTCAAAAGACTGGTGCTGAGTCGGTGCACCGGGTTGAGATCAGCTGGATTGGAACTGCTTGTGAAGTCGTGTCCTTTTTTGGAGTCTATTGATGTGTCCTACTGCTGGGATTTTGGTGATAGGGAAGCTGCGGCTTTATCTATTTGTGGTGGGTCTTTAAGAGATTTGAAAATGGATAGGTGCTTGGGTGTTACTGATGTTGGTTTGGCTAAAATTGCAATTGGGTGTCAATGCCTTGAGATACTTAGCTTGAAATGGTGTCTTGAAATTACTGATCTTGGGATTGATCTTTTGTCCAAGAAATGTACACAACTCAAGCACCTTGACATTTCATATTTAAAGGTTAATTTTGTTATCTTGTCATCCTTCTCTTTGTTCTTATTATCAAATAAAGGTAAATGTAGTTATTATGGAAATGCAAAAAGTGGGTTTAATTTGGTTTTGTTTCAGGTTACTAGTGGGTCGCTGCGTTCTATAAGCAGTATGGAGAAGTTGGAGTTTTTGGCTATGGTTGGGTGCGGCGTTGTGGACGATGAAGGACTGCATTATCTTGGAAATGGGTGTCCTTCGCTTCAGGTGATTTACACCTTTGGCAAACTATTGTGATGAGTTGTAAAAACGAAAGTATGAGATGATAGCTGTTTTTGGTTCGGTCTTAAGCTGACCTTTACTGTGTTGCTAGTGATCGTTTGCCCATTTGAAGCTTGAAAATAGACTTTGTATGTGTATGCAGTTGCTCCTTAGATAAGCACATGTCTATAGCTTGTTGAATTTTAAATGCTTATCTTAGAAGTAAAAAATAGAGTTTGAGTTTGTTTTTGTGAACTTATAGTAGTTCGTTTCAATGTCATGGATGAAACTAAATTAAGTTCGTCTATATGACATTTTTCTGATGGCCAGATTATGCAGTGAGCGCATGAATCTGGAACACAGGAAATGCTTTATTGGAAATTATGGTAGATGATTTTTTCTGGTATCTATCTATCCATGAATATATGAAATTAGTACGCCAAAGCTCAAACCTTTAGCCTATGTTGTGGCTACTTTACCTCTGAGAAAAACTGGTCGTGAAATTGTCTTCAGGTTTGTGTAATTTACTTAGTTGTCATAATTATTAAGAAAATTGTCTGATCGCAGGCACTGGATGTATCAAGGTGTGACAGATTAAGCTCATCCGCCCTAGCTTTCTTGATCAAAGGACATCCCTCGATGCTACAAATCCATGCTAGTTACTCTTTCAGTGTGAGTAAATTCATTGTTAGAACGAACATTTTGAATTATTCCTTGTGGAGTTTTTGATGTTGGTTCTGCAATTTAGATTGAGAATCTTGATGCACCAGGAGTTTCCTACTAAAGTCATCCAAGGGCTGAAGGACCTAAAGAATCTGAAAACGCTCATACTTGATGGAGCACCAGTTTCTGAATCATTCTTCAAGATCATTAATTTCAGTTGCAAGTATTTGGTTGAAATAGGGTTAGGCAAATGCAAAGGAGTGACTGACTTGGGCATTTTCCAGCTGGTATCAGGGGGTGTTAATTTAAAAGTCTTGAATCTCACATGCTGCAGCGATCTTACAGATAATGCAATATCAGCTATCACAGATTCTTGCCGGAGTGTTTTGTGCCTCAAGTTGGAGTGCTGCAACTCGCTCACGGAGAAGAGCCTATATCGCCTTGGATTACATTGTTCCTTACTTGAGGAGCTTGATCTTACTGATTGTGTTGGAGTCAGTGACACTGGTGAGACTCAAACCATTCGGTCTTTTGTTCTTTATTTACATATTTATTCCGCCACCATTACAACCATGCATGTGTATCCACAAAAAAGTTTATGTGCTCGTATATTCTGGGTTCTATTGCCTTTTTTTTATAGTCATTAAGTTTTGAGCTTTTTGTTGGCTTTCTGTTCCTCAAGGTCAAGACATCTGATTTTTTTCTTCTTGTAAAGACATCTTGAAGCTTCGTGCCCTCATTTCTCAAATTTCCTCGTGTTATTCTTCGATGATATGGTTACTCCAAAAATTGTGCAGTTAGTGGGTTAACTTTATGTTAAGCCTTTCTAGCTAGGAATTCAGCTACCCTTTAAAGGTGCGCTAATATGTGGTGCATCTCATGTTTTCTGCAGGACTTCATTACCTGTCTAAATGTACAAAGCTTGTATGTCTAAAGTTGGGATTATGTACTAACATTACCGACAAGGGCCTGTACTATATTTCTAGAAACTGCAGAGAGATTCGTGAACTTGATCTATACCGGTAAAATTTATTTTCCCACCTAACTTATCCCGTCAATTTGAGAACGTCTTCTTATATGATATCTTGAAAACCATTTGCAGATGCAAAGGAATTGGTGATAATGGACTCTATGCTTTATCAAGTGGTTGCAAAAGAATGCAGAAGTTAAACTTGTCTTACTGCTCTGAGGTCACCGATAAAGGGATTGAGTATCTTGGCTATCTACCAGAGCTCTATAACCTCGAGATGCGTTGTCTTTGGAATGTCACAGGCACTGGTTTAACAGCACTTGCTACTGGATGCAAGAGACTTGCTGAATTGGATGTGAAGGATTGTGCTTATATCGATGATTCGGGTTTCATGGCTCTTGCTTATTACTCTAGGAATTTGCAACAGGTATTATTGCCCAATCTTGAACTACTCTCTCTACTTCTTTGTAATTGATGATGCTGTCAATGTGATGTGCTTTCCACATTACCAGTTGATTAGTAATGCTTAAATGGTAAGAAAATTACACCTTTGGTCAGTCTTTATCATTTTCTCGAAATCTTGAAAGAGTTATGTTAATACTCCCTTTTGATAGACGAACAAACATTTGTGTTACAAATCAGGTTTCAAATATTAGTCAACAGCTTTTCGCCTCAAGTCTTTCAGATATATTATTATGATCCTTTTATTTGACAGGAGTTGTTGAATCCCACACTGAAAATTGGTCAAAGTTACCTCTTGTAAAATACACTCAGTTTTTTATGGAAAGACTACTTGTTAGGATCAAGCAATCCTGGTTTTCTTTTTTTCCTAGTTCAAAGTAGAGTAGTGATTGCATATTCAAATTTAACAAGCAGATTTGCTAGATAATTTTTTGGTGTAATTTTCTGGATCCATGATAAGATATGTTAGAATTATGTGGTGATTCTAGCTCCGTCTGGCATCTGTTTCATCCTAAACTTTATTATGTCGCTATATGCACAATGCTGAAAGGACTCGGACTTTTGTATCAACCCTAAAAAACTGGTCAATTCTTTTTGTTATGCTTAAAAAGTTCAGTATACCCCTACTTTTTGGATACCAATCAAAGTTTTTTGCTATATTATCTGCAATCTTTTGACTGATCAAACTTGATATTGAGCTTATCAAACTCAATTAATCATCAGATACACTTACTGAAAAACTTCCTTTTCCCCTTTTAGATCATACTTGAATTTTTGACTTGATTTTTTCCCCCATATCATGAGGTTTAAAATTGAGACCATCTGAGGATCAACTGAACCTGATTTTTTCTGAACTTCAATTAAAGGACAAAAGGATAAGTTCAAACATGACGTCTCTTTTAACATCATTCTTGTATGCATCTGTATGGTGGTTACTGCACTCTTCAACCAGGTCATCAGTTAGAATCAACTCACAAATTTGGGCATGTGGCACAATTATTTATTTAAAAAACTGATGCCATAACTCAACTTGAAAGTTAGAACATGCTTGATTGACCTTTTATCTTTGTTGTCTGTTCAAGAATCAGATGCTGCACATGACAGTGCATTTGTTTGTTAAGACTCTTGAACTGAAATGAGCATTCATCAGTTTTAATGATTGCCCTTGCTATTGCTCTATGTTTTTGTGATAGAATGAACAATCTCTTATAGATTTAACTGGGTTAAATACTTGTTTAACATGGTGAGTTCGAAATAAAGCTCATAATCATTTAGTTCTTTAGTAATACAGACCTTTTCATGTCAAGTGCACTAAGTAATATTAGCCGGAATTGACTCAGTTTCTACAAATGGTATGGTTAAATACTTGGCTAGATGCATGTAGCTGTCTTTGGAACCCTTGGGCCTTGATGCTTGTCTGTGCATTCTGACTTGGTTATGCGTGCTATGGTATAGACAACACATTTATTCTCCTATATTTCCGTTGTTCACATGTATTCGTAAATAATATACATTATTGTGCGGTACATACCATGCTTTTGCGTCCTTGAATACCTAAATGGGAATAGAGGCTTATGCCTGGAGCACCTTGTGTTCTTTTGGGCAAGATCTTCAAAATCATTATATCCGCCTTCACTGGAGACAAGTTTTGTGTTGAAATGATATATGTTCCAAAGCTCTATGACACTTTTATGGGTGCTTTTGCTCTTTTTGGTCTAAATCTTATAAAGTTGTATGTACAGCAAAATATTTTTCCTGCAAGTAATTATGGAGCAATCTCATTCTTCAGGAGCAATTTCATTCTTCGATATAAAATTTTGAGCACTAATTCTTCCTAAAAAGAGAATGAATTCAATGCATTTGAAATGCATCTTGAAGTTGTCATTTATTCATGTTCATAGGAGATCCTTGTACAATTGCAAACTTGATACTGAATTGTTTTCTGTATATCAAATTTTGTCAGTTGAATTTGTTTACAAATGCTGAAATAAATCTTTGATTGCAGATTAATTTGAGTCATTGTGCAATCTCGGATGTTGGCCTCTGCATGGTGATGGGGAACTTGACACGCTTGCAGGATGCCAAGCTTGTAAACCTTTTCAATGTATCAACAAATGGCCTTGAAGTTGCTCTTCGTGCTTGCTGTGTTCGGCTGAAGAAAATTAAGGTGGTTGCTTCCCTGAGGCTACATCTTACACCAGACATAGTTGAGACATTGAGTGCAAGGGGTTGCAGGATTAGGTGGGATTAGGGCCAAATATGACAGCATTATATCCAGTGTGTGTTACCATTTTTTTTGATACTAGTGGAGCATTATATCGGGTAACTCTACTCACCAAAAGCTAAATATATGACAGCATTATATGACTGTTGTAGCCACAGCCTCCACTTGCATGAATTGGAGTACTACAATACATTTGAGCAGTTGAACCTAAAACTCCTCCCATTACATTAGTAAAGCAGAAATTTTCCTTCACGTTGTAAAAGTCCACCTAAGAGAATTTGCACGGTCTTGGACTCTTCACTTGTGTGGACACATTGCATAAAATTCTTATGTACTTTGCAGTCTGGAGATTAACTATGGATGTTTAAACATCTTACCAGTGGATTTCTAAAGCTAGTGGCGGAGAATATCTTCTTATCTGCTGGATTGTGTTTTTGTCAACTTTTTCTAATTGTTGTCATCGTAGTTTCAGAAAAGAGATTTTACTATGGAACCAGAAGCGGGTCAATGATTTACTTTCTAATAGCTGAATGTGTAAATTTTTACACAGAAGCAAAAAAAGAATTAACCTAAATAGCAGCCCCCGCAATTAACTAAACTAAAAATAGTAATCTATGTATAATCTACATATAATATGTATATAATCTAAGTATACCGACTAAAAAAATATAATATATGTATAATCTAAGTATACCGACTAGAAAAATATAAAAGTAACAATGAAACTAGTCTGCTATTGTGTAAAGATCCCATCGTGGCTGTGCAATCCCCCAAAAAAAAAAACAAAGGAAAAAGGTAATCACAAATCTGCACAATTTCTGGTTGGGGTGTTTGCACAATTTCTGGCAGGGGTGTTCGTCGGCCGGTATGGTACGATATTTACATATTTTGATTCGATATTTTCGGTTTCTTAAAATACTATACCAATAACGTGTCTAATTATATTCCGTATGGTTTGACTTTTCTCCTTTCGGTGTTTATTCGGTACAGTAACTTCGGTTTATTCGGTTTCAATATTAACTAGTGCATAAAGCCATAAACTGTAATAGTCTTAATTAAAGTACTCACAAATATAAAAATGAAAACGTTCTAAGCTCACATGACTATTGACAAAAAATTTGTCCAAAACCAGCAAGTATCAACCCATAGAGAAAAAAGGTACATAAAAGAATAAATTTAATCATTAAAAATGTCTTGTTACTTGCTTAGAGCTAATTGCTGAAGTTAAAGAATACAACAAGACCTAATCCAACATATGCAATTCAATATACGAGAAAAAAATACCTTAAAACCGTAAAAGTATTACGTTAAGATGCTTGGTATCCTAGAGAATAAGGTCAAAATCTGCATCCTACATTGTTCCTCCATTTTCTAAAGAAGTACATGGGCTTTACTGTCAGCCTCAACATGCATACCGAAGAAAAGTATTATGCAACTTAGTATGTTATAATAAATAATATACGCGTTGTGTAACTTATATATATTTCGGTATGGTATCGGTATTTCGGTATTATTTTTGTAAATACCAATTTTTTTTTAAAACTTAAACCAAATACCATATCAAATATCAAAATTTTCGGTTTCGACATGATAATTAGGTATTTACCAAATCATGCACGCCCCTAATTTCTGGTCTCTATTCTTTTTCCCGTAATATGACCTATGCTTTTCTTGCGAATAGGTTTTTTTCGCCGCCCAACCAGACAACCCCACCTATTTTGTACTTCCTCTGTTTTAACCAGATATTCTGTTTTGAAAGAATGTAAGATTGTCGAAGTACAGAGTTAAATCTTTTAGTTTTGATCTCAACCCGGACCTGAATTGTTTAATATTTTTAAAATAAAATTTACATAAGAAAGTAGATAAACAGAGAACAATAACAGTGTTATGTAAATTAAGTTCTTCTTTCTCAAGTTGTGTGCTAGGCGATTAGGAACAGTGAACAGCATTAGGAAAAGTACGTTTGAACTTGACGGTCTGAACTTTTGATAGCTATTACGTACGGAGTATATATGTAAGCAAAAGTTGCAATGATTATACCGTGAAGATTGAGTGAATGAGAAGTAGCTACGGGATGATATATCTTTCCATATGATAATTGAGTGTCAATTTAACCCTTTTGCCGTTTTGTGCTTGCTTGTAGTCTGGTTCATGTGGCCATGTAAAATGTAAACAAGAAAACTAAGAAGAAAAGGGAGGAGGAGACTAACATTATTTAACAGTGTGAAACCAAACTATATCATAATGGAGCCCACACACTGGAGAATCTGACTTTAGATGTCAAGAAGTAGCCTACTTAGCCACTGACAAATTGACAATACATAGTAGTAAAAAGAATTTTGTAACCATTCCATACAAGGCAGGATAACTTGAAAGTTGGAAAGAGAGAAAAGCATATATTTCCATGTCTAGAAATTTCCCTTTTCTTTCAAGACAAACAATTCTCAATTTGTATTCCCTTCCTAACCCTCTTATATTTCTTTTAAATTGGCTCCCTTTTCCACTTCATTGAAAGAAAAAAAAAACCATCAAATGGAGTTTCCCAAATTTCTCCTTATTCTCATCCTTTTACCTTTCTACCAAGTTCTCTCCCTTAATGAACATGAAACTTTCCATCCATATCAAACTTCATATACTCTTGATCCTCAGGCCATGATCATTCAAGCTTGCAACAACATACAAAACCAAGCCTTATGCCTCTCACACATTCAATCCAATCTTGATAATCATGGCCATATTAGGGATCCACATTCAATCCTTAGAGCAGCCATTCGAAACTCCCTCAATCAGGCAAAGTTAGCCATTCAATCAATCACAAAATTCAGCACCTTATCTGCTTCATCCCGGGATCAAATGGCCATTGAGGATTGTCAAGAACTTCTCGATTTCTCGGTCACTGAACTAGCATGGTCGTTAGGAGAAATGAGAAAAATCCGAGATGGTTTAAAGAACTTTCATTATGAGGGAAATCTCAAGGCATGGCTAAGTGCAGCTTTGAGCAATCAAGATACATGCTTAGAAGGATTTGAGGGCACGGACCGACACCTTGAAAATTTTATTAAGGGAAGTTTAACACAAGTCACACAACTCATTAGTAATGTTCTAACTTTGTATGTTCAATTGCATAGCTTACCATTTAAATCACCAAGAAACGAGACAATAAGATATGAAAATCCAAAATATCCGGAGTGGATGACTAATGGAGACAAGGAGATGTTAACTTCTAGTCCAAATAAAATGCATGTAGATGCTGTTGTAGCCTTAGACGGAAGTGGCCATTATCGGTCGATTGCACAAGCAATATATGAGGCTCCTAGCTATAGTAGTAGAAGGTATGTGATCTACGTGAAGAGGGGAATTTACCATGAAAACGTTGATATGAAGAAGAAAAAAACCAACATCATGCTTGTGGGAGATGGGATTGGAGCCACTGTGATTACTGGTAACAGAAATTTCATGCAAGGATGGACTACATTTCGAACTGCAACTGTTGGTATTTTTCTCAACCCTTCTTCCGTATGTTCCTTTTGACTAGGTCATGTTATTTTTGAACCATTAGGTTAAATTGATGACTACACTAATATGTACTTTTTAGAGTAAACTTGATATGGTAGGATGAAAAATAGGGTAACAAGCTGCAAAAGTTGGATAAATAATTGCACTTGAAGTGTAAATTTATTTACACTATCAGTTGTATATAACTTTATTCCATAATGACTTTCAATGTAGTTTAACATATGATAGAAACCGATTACCATTTTCACCAAGTTACCCGATAATGCTTATCACACAAATTTACTTGTAATTTATTATTGAATAATTTGAATGTATAAATATTTTTTATACCGTCATTGCATAGATCTTAGACTCAAACTAATTATGTTTCTCTTGATTAATAATATGTTTCTTTTAACAGCTGTTTCGGGCAAGGGATTTATTGCAAGGGACATAACATTTCGCAACACTGCCGGACCCAAAAATTTCCAAGGCGTGGCTCTACGTGTGGACTCGGACCAGTCGGCCTTCTTCAGGTGCAGTATGGAAGGATATCAAGACACACTTTACGCCCATTCTCTACGCCAATTCTACCGCGAATGCAACATCTATGGCACCATAGACTTCATTTTTGGCAATGGTGCAGCTGTTCTTCAAAACTGCAAGATTTACACTAGAGAGCCACTTCCTTTACAGAAGGTCACAATCACGGCCCAAGGTCGAAAAAGCCCAGATCAAAGCACTGGATTTTCGATCCAAGATAGCTATGTTTATGCCACTAGGCCCACTTATTTGGGCCGGCCCTGGAAAATGTATTCACGGACTGCGTACATGAATACTTACATGAGTGGTATGGTCCAGCCCAGAGGATGGTTAGAGTGGTATGGGAACTTTGCTTTGAACAGTTTGTGGTATGGTGAGTATAAGAACTATGGGCCTGGATCATCGCTTTCTGGGCGGGTTAAGTGGCCCGGTTACCATATTATCAAAGATCCGTCAACGGCTAGTTTCTTCACCGTTCAACATTTCATCGACGGCATGTCGTGGTTGCCGGCTACCGGCGTCCAGTTCACAGCTGGTCTTACCAATTAGGTTACAGCAGTAACTAATAGCTCATTTGTTTAATGGAGTAAATTTATGTTTATATCATTATCTTCTATATTATGTATATAATTCATGATGGCATATTGTATCATACATACAAAGTAAGATATTTATTCCAAATGGACGTGGAACGTCTAAAGCGACTTGTGTATGCATGTAACAATTCTCTCCATTGCTTGGCACGTCGTAATTAGGTTAATTAAATTTTCTTAACGTGGAAAATGACCTAACCTTTCTTTGTGTGTTAAATATTCCCTTGCTAATTTGCGAAAGCAAAAAAGTTGACTTTTATAGTTCCCAATCTCCTAAAATCATGTGATTACTATTTTCATTTTCTCTTTGGTATGTGCATACTTTGCCACGTGAAATAGTGCATACATTTTTTAGCATTTTACTTAATGCAACGTAGTCAATATTGATGTTCTTGCCATCTATACTGGCTTTAAGAAAGGCAATTGAAATTTATCTTTGTATGCTACTCTGATCCTATCCCTGCACTCAACTCAAAAGGACAACTGAAGCAACAATTCTTCACAGCCATTTACAAAGTTATCTGAACTAGATCTAATTATCCAATCTAATATTATGAGTCATGTATTATACTTAAGTGGTACTATATATTTTCAGAATTGTTCTCCTCCCATTTAAAAAATGCACCTTTCTTTTTTCCCTTTTAATATATCTTGATGGAGAACCCTTCCTAATTCCAAATGGAATTTAAATATTAAGGTTAAAGTTTCAAAGTTCACTAGGTACAGCTTGACTTTGCTTGCAGATCGATGTTTATATTTTGCATAATAAGAAATAAATTGCAACCACCGAGAATCAATACTAAGAAGATATTACCGTAATAAAATAGCACCTCTTTTCAACAGCATGGCATGCAAGTTGGCACGATCAATCCAACTATATATATTGTTTACGAAATGACAATTCTTTTATGAAACTCATTGCTATATAAATGCATGTTTCAGATAAGTATTATTCATACCCAATGTTTAATTGCCATGGCATTCACACATTCCATCCTTGTATTCTTCATACTTCAATTCTTCTTCTCTCCTTCTCATGCATCTCTCTCTTCTGATGAAATTTGCAGCAACACCCCTTTTCCTAACTTGTGCAAAACTTTACTCCCTCCCAACAATTCTATTGACATTTATGACTCAGGAAGGCTCTCCATCCAGCTTTCCCTTTCAACAACTAGTCAGATTCTTAACTCAATCAACGGTTTCCTCAATCCAATTGATCTATTACTCCCTAAAAGCACCAGTTCTGCTCTCCAAGATTGCCAGTTCCTCCTTGGCCTAAACGTTGATTTATTATCTACTGCTGCTGCTGTTACTAAGAAACCAAAAGATTCCCTTGAGAATACAGAAGCAGATGATGTATTAACCTGGCTTAGTGCAACTATAACCAATAAACAAACTTGTTTGGATGGTCTTCTAGTTGCGCCTTCTATTTTACAGGTTTCTAAGTTGATTACACCCATAATTTCTAAAGGTACGCCGTAGTGTTGAAATCTGTTACAATCTTATTAAGAGTGCACACTTTTTGTTTACTCCCTCTTGTCCACTTTAATTGATTTTTTGGTCTTTTTTTCGTTGTCCACAATATATGATTTTTTTCAAATATCAAGAAGGAATTTACTTCTTTTTCTCAAAGCTGCCCTTGGAGTATCTTAGAGTATCTGTTATATTTTCAATGAACAAATTAAAAAGATAGTAAAGGTTAATATGGTCAATTTTATTGTTAATTAATGTTAAAAGGTGAATTCCTGTGAAAAAATAACCAAAAAATCAATTAAAGTGGACCGGATGAAATAATTAATTATATTATGTCTCAGCATGCCCCTCATATGTGAGTGATTCTTTTTCATTAACCAAACACTTAAAAATATGTTTTTTTTGCTTTTTGGACGACGGTGTGATTTGAACCTATGACCTCTTGTCTGCTTTGAAACTATGTTACATTGTATGACTACCTCATTTCAAAATCTAAACCGTTAAAAGAAACATATTTTTAATTTACTCAATTACATATACATTATTATTATGTCTCAACAGGAAGCATGACGTGTAGTGTGTCACTCGCGCTCTTTAAGAATGGGTGGAATCCTGATTCTGTTTTAGGGAAGGTAATTAGTTGGAGTATGTTGAAAATTAGCCAAAAGGTGGTAGTGAATCCTGATGGAAGTGGGGATTATACTACTATCAATGATGCAATCGCAGCTGCCCCGAACAATACCCCAGCAAATGAAGGCTATTACCAGATATATGTGGTTGCTGGTGTCTACCTTGAGTATATTTCAATTGCTAAAAACAAGAACTATTTGATGATGGTTGGTGATGGCATAAACAAGACTATAGTCACCGGGAATAGAAATGTACCTGATGGATGGACAACTTTCAATTCTGCAACTTTTGGTAAGTTTTTAACATCGAGATATATTAAATTATTAATCCATCTTCAGTCAATATGTAGAACTGAAAAACCAAATCTTTTTTGGCTCTTTTATGGTTTATTAAATATCAGACTGCGGAACATATTTAATTTTTCGGTGCATATCTAAACACATCATATGGGGTTGACATATAATATTATAGTTTAAAGGAAGACAAAATTAATGCCATGCATGCAGTTCCCCATGTTCTTTCGCTAATGGATTATATATTCTATTGAAGTCATATCTTGTTTAAGTTTCTTAAATAACCACATGCTTGTCATCTAAATCTCCAAGGATTCTTTACTATAAAGACAGTTGTGTGTATATATATAGTAGTACTACTATTATATCATCACCGACGAAAATTTAGGAGTTAAGGGTTTGAGGTTGGTTGGGGAGAAGGGAGATAGATGAAGCTAATAAGTATTCTGTAATTATGGGAAGGAACAAGGCACCACTTTTCTTTTTAGGATTTAACACCTAACTTAATTTAACATGTTACATCAGGTTACTTATAATTAATTAATTTAATCAAACAATCTTTAATTATTTTCTCGGTTCCAACTAATTATGTGTCAACATTCGGATTTTGAAAGTCAAACTTCTTAATTTTGATAATGAATTCGGACATAGAAACTTTATGTTTTTTGCAATAAAATTTACGTACGTATTTGAAATTTATGTAATAATTAGTATAAGTCATAATAATTAACAATTTAAAAGGCGTATAATAAACGGTCCAAGAAAGTTTTCGAAATCAGAATGGTGCCACTTAAATTGTCATGCACACAGAGGTAAACTGTTCCTTTTATGGATCTAAGTAATCGATCTTTGATACTCATGCAGCTGTAGACGGGCAAGGATTTGTGGCAGTAAACATTACATTTAAAAACACAGCAGGAGCAGCAAAGTTCCAAGCAGTAGCCGTTAGGAATAGTGCTGATCTATCCGCATTCTACCACTGCAGCTTTGAAGGGTATCAAGACACTCTGTACACACATTCCCTGAGACAGTTCTACAAGAACTGTGATATCTATGGGACAATAGATTTCATATTCGGAAATGCAGCAGTTGTTTTCCAAAACTGTAACATATATCCACGCCTTCCATTGCGCGGCCAATTTAATGCAATTACAGCACAGGGCAGATCAGACATTAACCAGAACACAGGCATATCCATTCACAAATGTACCATCACACCCGCTTCTGACTTAGCCTCGTACAATGGCACTACTCCAGTACGGACATATTTAGGCAGGCCATGGAAAGAGTACTCGCGAACTGTTTATATGCAATCATTTTTGGACAGTTTTATTCATCCTGATGGTTGGTCGATTTGGACAGGAGATTTTGCGTTAAGTACATTGTGTTATGCTGAATATAAGAACATGGGTCCAGGATCGGATACTAGTAATAGGGTTACATGGCCTGGTTATCGTAGTGAGATTAACTTCTTGGATGCATCTTATTTCACTGTCTCCAATTTCATAGTGGGGAATTATTGGCTGCCTTGGACTGGAGTCCCTTACACTGGTGGTTTATATTTTTAAGCAAGAATTTTTTCTTGATCTTTTATTTAATTTGGTTGTGTTCTTCGGTTAATTCCGAGTGATCACTGTATCTTCTTTATTTGTTTGTTTGCCAGTTTGGTTCTTTGAGTTTATATAACTGGAATTGATGTCAGGTCAATAAGATACTGGAATTAACTGTCGTTATTATCATTACATGTACAAATTTTAGCCTTCCATGTGTTGTTCAATTGCATTTGGTTGTTTTGCAAGAACAAATTAGTAGAGGGGACTAACAACAGTACGTTTCTCCTGTTAAAAGTAGAAAATTTGTTTGGACTAACGTGTAAATAAACGTGTTAAAATCATTTGTATGCTTACGGTTAAGTACTATTGTGTTTAAGCCGTGTACAAAGTATGGTTAAAATGTACCCAAGGGACTACGATTAAACATCACTGTTTTATCCCCCGTAACTTTAGGATTTGAAATTGATCAGTCAAAAAAATAGGAGTTGGTGGATGGTGGTAAAAATATCCTAGCTTTTTGGAAACTATAATAAGACACAAATTACCAACTTTCACTTTTATCCTCCGTCAATATGCTTGTTTCCCTCTAAGCTTCTGATCTAGAACAGAACAAAATTTGGGAAAATGCTATAACTTCTTTTCTCTTATTCGTTCTTTTTTCCAGCCATTTTGAGGAGAGGGTCAAGAGCAAATCTCCAGGCCCTTCTCCGTTACAATTTGGTAAATCGAACACTAAGCAACAATATTTCCATTTATTTGTTTTATTATCTAATTCAACCAGCCGTTAAATTTCCCATTAGAGATCAAACATGGCGGGAAATAATCGTAAGAGGAATGTCGCGATTATCAGTGTATGTTCATTAATCTTGGTGGCTATGGTAGTCGCAGTAGCCATAACAATGAAGGGGAAGGACTCAGATAATAATGGTCAAGATGCCACGACTTCGCAAAAAACTATTGAATCCATTTGCCAAACAACACGTTATCAACATACATGTGTTGAGAGCCTTGAGTCCTCAGCTGAAGGCTCCTCAGATCCCAAAGACCTTATCCAAAAGTCATTTCAGGTAGCAATTAAGAAAATTAAGGAAGCAATTGAGAATTCAACAATGTTGCAAAAACTCGAGAAGGATCCAAGAGCGAAACTTGCCCTGGAGAATTGTCAGAAGCT